ACTTCCTTCCCTGATGCTAAGCCAGCCACACTGGTATTTCATCTCTTCAGACACACTGAGCTCATTTCCTCCTCCAGGTCTTTGAACTTGTTTATCCCTCTGCTCCACCTGGAATACTATTCCCACTGACCTCTGCACAGCTTGCCCCCTTGTTTTAATGGGGCGTCCACTCAACCGTCACCAATGTAGAAAGGCCATTCCCCCCTACCCCCACCCCTGCGCCTCCACACTCTTCACTCCTTACCTTTTCACATTTCTTCAGAGCACACAGCGCCACTGATGTTACCTTACTTGACTGTTATCTACCTTTACCACTGGAATGTACGCCCAAGAGAACAAGGATTTTTGACTGCTTGGTTCACTGCTATGTCCCTAGCACCCAGAATAGTCCTTGGCAGATACTAAGTTCTCAAAAAGTATTTGTTATGGGAATGACTCTGACCACCGCTAACTTGTAATGATGGTAAAGAAACACCCCCTGCCCCGGTTTAGAGCTTAATCTGTGTTTGTTATTTTATGTCCTAGACAAGTCACTTTTTTCCTTTATGGAAGGGAAAATAAAAATAAGTACTTCTTCAGTGATTATTGAAAGGATCAAATGATGTGATGGTTGTGAAAGTCCTTTTTAAAAATGGGAAACACTGCAAATGATAATCACTGGTACTCAGAAACAGGTCAAACTATACAAATAAAGTAATACAGAAACATCTGGAAATTTGCTCCCAGTTCTAAATAAAGCCAACAAAATATTCCCACTTGTTTGGTTCCCAATATATTTTAATAGGTAACAGTAATAAACTGCACAGATGAAATACTACTTTAATATTAAATATAATATCTATGCAGCCTTGGGATACACTACTTGGTTGTTATATCCTTGTTTAATGCTATATAATTGGATTCAGCAATAAGGTTTTGTTTTGTTTTGTTTTGTTTTTTGTATTAAGACTTTTTCTGTGACTTTCCAAGGATTAAAAATTAGAAAACACTTATTTTTAGGGAAAAAATGTAATTTCTGTCTGTGGAATATTAAACTGAAATTAATAGCATTATACTGGCAAGTATCTTTAAAAACAAAGTATAATGTTGATAGCAAGCAGGTATAAATAGAATCTTCTTAAATCTATCTTTGTCCTAAACTAGGAAAACTGAAACCATGGGGACAATCTAAAGAAAACAGTTGTCTGAATGAGCGTGTAAACAGAGTTAGCTTCCACAAGAAAACTTATAAACAACCTCCTCGTCTCCAGATCAGGTAAGTACATAATTGTCCAGTTTATAATTCTTTAAATTTTCAAAGTATACACAAACACACACACACACACACAATATAAGCAGAGTCTCTGAGGGATAGAGAGTTGCAGTAATAGTGGTGTTTAATAAGCGGGTAGAGGTAAAATCATACACAGACCTAAAGTTTGAGATGGGCCCAAGCATCTGCATTGTTTCCAAAGCTCTAGAGGTGATTTAGAAGAGGAGCCGGACTCAGAGCACTGCTCTTACACGACCTAGGTGCCCAAACAACGTGCCTGGATATCCCTCCAGACACCAATCCAAGGGTGCAGGGCACCTGGCTATGCAAAGAGATGTAAATTGCCCACTCCCAGGGAAACCAGGCTTACTAAACCTCAAGGTTCCACACGGGGAAAACCCCAGGATGACCCTTCGAGGCTTCTCTCTGCACAAAAACCAATGCCAGAGCTTGTCCTAGGCTACAGCTGGTCCTGGTTTGGTCAATTCCCTGCAGGAAACCCTCCTGATACAGAGTTGGTTACCTATCATTTGACCTGCCAGCTACCATCAAGACCTCACTATTTGTTATTAAAGTCATTAACATGATTCTGAGCTTTTTTTCTACTCCTAAATCCTTCCCCCCAAAACATAGTGCTTTAAGTCAGTAGACCCTGGTTCTAGTTCCAGCACTTTCATTAGACAGTGTGATTTTGAGCTTGACCTTTGACTTCCACACGTAGAGATTTCTTATTCTTATACAAACTAAAAAACTACGGGGGTTAGATTCAATTTCCAGAGTGCCTTCTATTTCCAATTCCGTGCTTGATTTTATAATGCTGCCTTAACACAAAAAAGAAAATACCAATTTCTAGTCTTTTAACACAACAAAGACTTACGGGCATGGCTTCCATCTCACACCACTGGACAGAGCGCAGTGTCCTGTAAGTGTTTTATACCAGTGTGCTGGATGTCATTTTAAGTTTGGACAGCAGTTTAACAACAGGTGCTTTAAAGTGGTCTGTTGTGGCGCTTCACTAGAGCCTAATGTATGCCTATCCCTTTTAGGGAGGAGCAACGGAAGAAGCATGAGCAAGAACGAAAGGAGAAGAAAGCCAAGGTTTTGGGAGTTCGAAGAGGCCTCATTATGGCTGAACATTCATAATTTAACATCTTGTAAATATTCCTTTACTCTGACCCTTTTTTTGTAAATATTTTTGTACTGTCCTCTCACTTTAGTCAAAAGACCTTTTTCTGCTCTTAACTTTGTTCATATATATGTAGTGTCAGTGGCTTCTTCACATGCTATATCCCTGAAAAGACATTATTATCTTTAAAACTCACAAACTCTCTTTGAAATAGTTTTTACCTAAGCCCCTGTACAACTAACTCAGTTTTCTAAAGAGACTCACCCTATAGATTCTTGACTTAGATTTTTAATGTCAAGTTCCCTCTGCTAGCTCTAATACTAACAGAACTTCAGTCTTCTAGGCAAAAGCATTTAACTGATGGTAGCTAATTATACCTCAAGCTTCAGGAGAAATTGAACAATAAGATAACAGGTTATGAATAGGGAAAGGCCACCTCTTTATTCTCTAATCTGATAGTTTCAGTGGAACAATGGGCTACATGGGTTGGTATGACATCAATATTTTACCTATGTTAAATGTTTTGTTTCAGCTTCTATTTACCTTTGTTCAGATCACTTCATGTAACTGTCACCTGTCACTCAGTATATTCTTAAGAAAAACTCTATAGCTCATTCTAGCCTTGCTTGTTTAAAAATATACAGGGCCATATTGAAATCTGGGCATTTCTGCTTTAAGGATTGCTGTGCTCTGTCAAACTTATATCTTACTCAAGTTATGGAGAAGACTAGAGTTACTTAGCATCATATTCATGTTTGTTGCACCTGAGTGGAGCTTTATGCGTTTTGTACTGCTTAAGATTTTCATAAATAAAAATTTTTCTCATGGTGGTAGATTCATTCTTTGTAAATGCAGTTGGCTTCCGCAATTTAGTTGACCAGACAAGATGTACTCTGTGCATCCTTTCTTGACCTCCCATTCCAAGAAGAAATGACTGTATCCTTCTGTATTTTCACAGCACCTGTCAGATTCTACTTACTGTTGTTATACACATATGAGCCCACAGAACATGGCATACTCCTGGGTACTTAACTCAGATTTTACTATCAAGAGGCAGAAATCAGATCAGTCAAGAAACCTGAGTAACCATCAAATACACTGCTACTAGGAAGGTAAAATGATATAACCATTTTAAAAAACAGTTTGGCAGTTTCTTTAAAAAGATAAATGTACGTCTACCATATGACCCAGCAGTTCTCCTAAGAGAAATGAAAACACGTCCACCCTAACGCATGCAAATATTAAAGCAGCATTACAGCAGTATTACTCGTAGTAGCCAAAAAGTGGAAGAAAATCCAGCTGTCCATCAATGGATGAATGGATTAACAAAGAATATTATTCACTAAAAGGGAATGACATACAACATGCTACAACGTGGATGAACCTCAAGGACATTATGCTAAGTGAAAAGCCAGACACAAAAGATCATATGTGATTCTATTTACATGAAATATCCAGAGAAGATAAACCTATAGGGAGAGTAGATTAGTAATTATGAGGCTGAGAGTGGGAAAGAAGGGTGACTGCAAAGGGGCACTGAGGTGTCTTTTTAGGCTGACGGAAATTTCCTAAAATTAGCTTGTGTAGAGATTGCACAATTCTGTAAATAAACGAAAAATCACTGAATTGTATACTTAAAACAGATGAACTTCATGTTATGTAAATTATACCTCAATAAAGCTGATAAAGATAATCACATGAAAATATACAAAATAGATATTTTAAGCCAAGATGATGGAAAAGCTATCAGCCTTTGTATATTCTCTTACTTACTTTAAAATTGGCTCTTGTAGGATACTCTGGTTAAACTGATCAATTTAAACTGTTAATCAGGGTCTAAATTTTGGAATATGCAATCTCTAATACTTAAAATGACTGAGGAAGCCTTGGGGACATTAGTCTCTAAAGTAAAAATTGGTAAGATCACGCATCTTTGGAGGACCACCTCTCTAAGTAGGTGTCATGGACTGCAAGCTTGTGTCCCCCCAAAACTCAAATGCTGAAATCCTAATTCCCAGTGTGACTTGGTACTTGGAGGTGTGGGTCTTTGGGAGGTAATCAGGTCATGAGGGTGGAGCTCTGATGATGGGATTAGTGCTAATGTAAGAAGAGAAAGAGACCAGAATGTATTCTCTACCTGTGAGGACACAGTAAGAAGGCAGCGATCTATAAGCCAAGAAGCAGATACTCACCAGACACAAGATATCCAGGTACCTTGATCTTGGACTTCCCATCCCCCAGAACTGTGACAAACAAATACATGTTTAAGCCACCCAGCCTACTAATTTGTTAAGCAGACTAAGACAGCAGGTATCTTTTTCCCAGTGACTTCTACAGCACCTTTATCTTAATATTCTTCATCGTTCTCCTCTCCTCATAGATTAGAAAACAGAAGCAACCTATCAGGAACAAAATGGTAGAAGGACATCAACAGTCATCTTAGACTCCCTGCTTCGGAAACTAAAGTAGGAATTGTGCCTAATAGGAATCATTCTAACCAAAACAGTTATTCACATAGGACCTGTGCATCGGTACTTGCATTCTTTCAGGTACAGCTTACATCCTGGTCCCTCTTAGCAACAGCATTTAGCTATGTCTTAGGGAATACATACCAGCCATTGGTTGGATGCCATTAAAGAAACACATTATTTTTGTGTTGTCATGGATTTTACTTCCCTTAATTTAGTAATACAGAAATTCCACATGATCTCTATTTAAAAAGTCTTGGATTCAACTCTGGAGAATTTTCATAGGCAAATTCTTCTGTGTGGGTTGGATCAGTAAACACTCCAATAAAATCTATTTCTAGGAAGAATGGACCATCCACTTTGTCAGCCAAGGTGAATCCAATAGAAGAGATCTACATTTAAAACAGAGAAATTGATCAAAATCTCATACACTGATGTTGTTCCTGGAGTTTTAAAATCCCATGAGGTAATTACTATAGCTGGGTCTTTATACTATCAGCCTTAGAGGTTGGGTATATAGCTCAGTGGTAGAGTGTGTGCTTAGCATGCACAAGGTCATGGGTTCAATTCCCAGTACATCCATTTAAAAAAAATTTTAATACTAAGTATACTATTAGCCTTTAACAAGTATACCATAGTTCTCATATGCTGTAGCAAATGATAAGAGGAAGTACGGCTGCTTTTCTTTCCACATTCTACCTCCTCTCTCTTTAAACTAGTACTAGTTAAGACTACTAAGTACAACACGGATGTCTAGTGGAGGTTCCTTGAAGCTCTCCTGAACTCTGAAACTGTTCTTTTATTTTAAAGCTAAAATAAAATGTAGTCACCCTGAAAAGATGGCCATAGTGATATTCTTTCAGGATGGGGATTTGGCTCACAGGATAGGTCTGAGTCAGCATCTGTCTGGGTATTATAAGGGTACACTTAAATAGAATTTTCATCTTTCATTTGCCAACCTTCAAAAACGGACTGAATTCATCCTCTCAGGAGTTCTGTTTCACTAAAGAAAATATAGTTCTTAGTGAAAGTACTGAAAAATGTTACCTTGTCAAGAAGAAGCTGGTACTGGGCATCCCGAATTCTTCCTTGATTAGAGAAGAAAAATTTGGAGAAAGGAATCTGAAAGAAGAAACCATTTACTTCATAGCTGAAATGTAAGCAACTGAGACATCTGTATGGAATCACAATGATAAAAGAGTAACAGTTTAAATTTAATTCTAAAACTATCTAAATATGTGAGGTTATAACAAGTGGCTAGTCATTTGGATCACGGATATAAACTTTTTTAATGAAATAATTTAAGTACTAGAAGAAAACAGCTGAAAACTTTTCTAAGCCAGAAGTCCCAAAGGGAAAAATAACAGAGTACAATTATAACTTTCTGATGGCAAAAACTAGTATCTAAAGACAAAACTTTTACAAATAACTAAGAAAAAGATTAAACAACCCAATAGAAAAATGGGGATGGGGAGAAATAGGCACACTTGTATATTGAGAGTAGGAGTACAAATTAGTCCAACTCTTAAGAGAGAGCAGCTGGCAATTGTGGTAGGCAGGATTCTAAGACAACACCCACGATTTCCACCTTCTGGTGCACACACACCTTCTTCTAGGTGTTCAAACACTAATCTCGGTGCTGCTGTGAAGGGACCCTGCAGGAGTAAGATTCCAAATCAGTTGACCTCAATATAGGGAAGATTATCCTCTGCGGGCCTGACTTAATCACTTGAGCCCATAAAGGGGACTGCTGGTGAAAGCGGTCAGAAGAGTGAGAGGGATTCAAAGGGGGAGCTCAGGGGGATTCTCCACTGCCAGCTTTGAAGATGGTGGGAGCTAAATGGCAAGGAATGTGGGCAGCTTCTAGGCCCTGAGAGTGGCTCCGAGCTGACAACCAGTAAAGAAACAAGGATGTCATTACAGCCACAGGAACTGAATTTGGTCAATAACCAGAATGAGTTTGAAGTGGATTCTTCTCCAGAGCCTCCAGAAAGAAATACAGCCCAGCCGACACCTTGATCTCAGGCTTAGAAGGCCCTGAGCACTGTACCTGGTCATACCGTGTCCCAACCTATGACCTACTGAACTGTGAGCTAATAAACGTGTTGTTTGAAGCTGCGAAGTTTGTGATAATTCTTTATGTGGCAATAGGAAACTAAAGCAGTATCTAGCAAAATTTGAAATGCTGTAACTTTGACCTGCCAACTTCACTTCTAGGAATTTATATTACAGATAAACTCTGACATAGCTTTTAGGAAAAAAAAAAAAAGAAGAAGCTCTAAACACATACCAGATAGTCTAATATAAAAGAACTAGCACTTTAAGATCATTTTGACAGTACATCTAAGCGAAACAGAACACAAGTTATGTGTTATTTGATGCTCAGATACAGCATAATGCTGTGGATATATAGTTAAAATTCTAATGTTACTTTGAAAAAAAAGGAAAAGTAGGAGAATAGTTAAATAAATTATGGTGCATCCATACAACTGAATGCTATATAACTATTTTTTAAAATGAAGTAGATCTACACATCATGCTGTGGGAAGACCTGCACAATATATTATTAGTGAAAAAGGAAGATAAAGACAAAATCTACAACATAAATGTCATTTATATTTTTGAAAACAAATTTTTAAATGCCTCCAAATAAACTGTAAAAAAATTTACTATAGCAATTGGGAACAACCCAAGTGTCTATCAATAAAGGACTAGTTCAATCAAATATGGGATATCCATATCACAGAAATACCAAACAAAATAACAAAGAATGAAAAATAATTACATATAGTGATATGGAAGCTCTCCAGGATCTAAATTTTAAAAATATAAGCTGGCATGAAAGATATATAAAGTATGCTATTTTTATTTTTGAGTAAAAAAGGGGAGAAAATAAGTATATACATATATATATTTGCTTACATTTGCATAAGAAAACTGTAAAGCTACACAAGAAACTAATAAAAGTGGTTAGGTACAGGCATTGGGCAGGAAAAAGGTGGATAGAGATTAGCGGGAGTGAATCTTTGTAATCTTTTTACGTTATTTTGATTTTTGAACCAAAAAATAAAAATGAGTTTTAAAAATTAAATGTACTGTTTTGATTATCACCAGAAACACTTGACGACATAAAACAAATTCAATTCAAAGCTCACTTAATAAATCACCACCGCACAAGCAAAACCAAAAGCAGTCATCCTCATTTCACTGGGAAAGGACTCATTTCTATTAAACAAACCTGGAAGGGACCCCCACCCCTACCCCCGACTCTGGGCCAGTTTCTCATTCTGCATCCTGGTTTGGGACTTCATCTACGTCATTATTTGAAAGCATATTTTGGAAATGGAATCAATGCTACCTGCTCGCCATTCAAGGAGCACGTGTCACCCACCCCACTGGTCTTTTGTCTTTTTAGCATGTATTTCACTAAGATCACAGTCCGCACCAAGGGAATTTTTTAGCCTGGAAGCAAATGAAGCTAAAAGGGAGCATTAAATCTGTACAGCTTGCATAAAAAGAAAAGAATAAACAGTTGTTTTCTCTACAAGTGGCAGAAAACGAATATACATAATTTTTCCATCATTTTCTTCTGTTTTCTTTCTATAATCAGAGTAAACCTTTGAGCATCTCACTTCTATCTACCAAATGAGAACTATTCATAAAGAAGTGAACAGCAATAACACTTAATTTTTTAGAATCTCTTCCCCAATACTCCCCTTAATACTTTAAAGAGAGGTGTGGAAAACAACTATCATTTCCAGCCAAAGATTAGGACTACATGTATTTTCAGGAAAGAAAGTAATTGCTAATGATTAGATGGTAATGATACTGAAGAATAACTTGGCAAGGAGCATCAGAGGCCTTAAAAATGTATGTATCATTTATTGTAGGAATTTTGTTTCTAGGTTATATCCTAAGAAAATAATTAAGGATGTTTACTTCAGAGTTTGGTACTTCACAAGAGTGAAAAACTGAAAACAATCTAAATGTACAACAGTGGAGGATGGATTAAGTAAACTGTGGTCTACTTATATAATAAAATATGCAGATATTAAAAATGATGTAGAAATATATTTCAACAGAAAGTTGTATATAAAATTCCAGTGAACAATATATGTTATAAAATACCACTGGCATAATACTATTTTTGTAAAAAAATGTAAATAGCAAAGTCTGAAGGGACACACTAAAATAAAAATAATATTTTACCTCAGGGTTGTGGTAGCACAAGATTTTTTTCCTTCTCTGCATTTTCTAAATTTTCAATAATAAAATACTTGTTTTGTTTAATAGTTAGTTATATGTATTACTGATATACAAGTGTTACACATGCAATAATTTTTGGTTATATATCTATATTAGTGTATAAGTATGTATCTAGCACCTATTATAAGCCAGGCACTGTTCCAGGAACAGGGGAAACAGCTATGAATAAAATGGACAAAGTCCCTGCTCTCAGAATTTACAGAACTTCTGTTCCAGGGAGAGAGTGACAATAAACAAAGAGACAACTGAATGAACAAAATAATTTTACTTAGTGACAAGTTGTATGCAAAAATTAAACAGGATGTTATTGAAAGTGCTGGGCTGGAAGGTGCAACTCTAGCTAGAGGAATCAGGAAAGGCCTCTCCGAGGTGACTTTTGAACTGAAAGGTGAATGACAGGAAAGAGGAAGCAGGTGAAGATGTGGGAGAAGAGCACTCCAGCAGATACAGCACGAAATACAAAGGCTCCGAGATGGAAGTGAGCTGGTTGAGTCTGACACACAGAAAAGGGGCTAGAATAGGGGAGGGAGGGAGGGAGGGTCTGATACTGTAGGCCTGGGAGGCCACATTAAGGAGTTTGGACTGAGTTCTAACGACAAAGGGAGACCACTGGAGGGTTTTGAGCATGTGAGTGATGTAATCTGAACTACGCTTTAGAATAATCTGCTGTATGCAGAGTGGACCTTAGGGCGCAAGAGGACAATGAGGGAAATCAATAAAGAGGCTGCTGCAGTAATCCAAAGGCCTGGACTAGGGTGAGAGCAGAAGAGATGGCAGAAATGGTCAGATTCTACATATGTTTTGAAAGGAGAGGTGAGAGCATTCACTAATACACTGGATGTGGGGTGAGGGAGAAAGGAATCCAGGATGACCCTGAGGTTTAAGTATTAGCAAAATGGGGACTTTCTTTTGAATTTATGGATTAAAAATCTTCAATAGGCAAAAGAAAGAAACAGGCACTTGGTTTTGCCCTCACTCCCTGAATTTCCACTGATTTTCTTCCTGGTTAACATTTTTTACCTTCTAAAAGTTTCTTCTCCCCAAAAAATAGGACTATGTCACCAAGAAATAAATAAAAAGTTTGATAATTGTCAAATGTCAAGGGTTTATTCCTCTTAATGGAGCCTTTCTGCTAAACTAGGGACATGAACTTAGTGCAGTGCCTGGAAGAGGTAATACGGCAGGAACTAAAAAGGAAACATCTACAGTACTTGGGCACAGGGTAGAGGTGCACTCTCATGACTCAGCATGGCTTGGCCATATCCTTATAAAAAATACTTACTGTATACTTACTGTATAGTAAGGTAACATTTATTTTAATGAAAGAAACAGTCAATTATGTAATTCTTGCCCTTAGGTCCTCTTCTTTCCTTTCCTACACCTTCCAAGAGGAATGAATAAGAAAAAGAAACTACAATGTAACCATAATCTCAAAAGACCTCATTTTCATACACAGCAAAGACTTGTGCAGCTACCTTGACCTCCTGCCAATAGGGCCCCCCACGGGTGAACATGAAGTAACTGTACATCTGACTCTTCCTCTGGATTATATCGGTGTCCTCTCTGATATTCACCATCCAAGGCCGTCCATCTCCACGGACACGGAGGTACAGAGTGTTGAACTGGGACCAATCATAAGACTTCTTTCTCTCAAAAGGGCCCTAAGGTACAGAAAGGAAAGTTAATTTCACCTCATTTTTCCATTATTAGCAAAATGTGAGTTGTCACCTTTTGTCAATGGATCTACAAGCCATTTTTTTAAAGTTTTTGTTTTTATTTTATTAGACTTTGGGGGCAAAAGATTCTGTAATGCAATTTAGTTTCTCTTTTTTTTTCCTTTTGAATGGATGTGCTGGGGATTGGACCTCACACATGCTAACCGTGTGCTCTACCACTGGGCTATACCCTCCCCTGCTACAAGCCATGTTCTGCCTTTTTCTGCTTTCTAACACTAACGAGACAGACAAATCTGGTGATTCTTATTTTAGTATCAAACACTGACATAGATACATGTTTCTAAGGTAATGTTCAAGACATGATTGGCCCAGGACAGTGTTTACATGGATTAGGCACTCACTTGTGTCCCTGAATGGAAATAAAATGCTATATATGCTTCCTTTCCCTGGGCCTGTGGAGCTACAGCTTTTAAGTGGGCCATTCCCATAAATCAGAACATATGGAGGAGCTCAAACTCAAGCTTCAAAACTGGTATTTCATAAAACCAGCTACCATCCATTGAAAACATACATCAATCACTTTGCATGCATAATTTAATCCTCACAGAAGCCCTACGAGATAGGTACAATCATTGTCCTCCATTTTGTAAAGAAACTGAGCACTCTACTAATGAGTGGTAGGCCCAGTGCTGCTTAACTCAAATCTGTGTTCTTACAACTATCTAAACTGTCTCTCTCTCTGAAAGTAGACTGTACTGTTAATTTCCAAAGGTGTTTGTTTTCAGCAACCTTAGAGATAATTTGATTTCAACAATACCAGTGCTCAGGTATGAACCATTATTTACTAGCCACATAATTTTGGACAAGTTACTAAATCTCCACAAGCCTCAATTTCCTCATCTGTAAAACTGGGATGGTTATACCTTATAGTATTGTTGTGGAGAACAAAAGGAATAATGCAAAAAAAAAGTATACAAAGCAATTAGCACAGGGACTGGCAGGGTACACTTAATAAATATTATCAACTATTTTCATTACTCCATGCTACATATCTAGATATAGAATTATTTTCTACTGTGGACTTACCGAATCCACTCTGTGGATTTTCAGGGCCTGAAAAAAATCTTGTATGCATAGTTTGTTGCCTCTGAAAGAACACATACTTTTCTTTTTCATCATTATCTGGAGAGAGGCAGCCTAATACTATTCCTACCATTTGCTTTTCTCCTTAAAGAAGCATAAACAAGCAAACAGCCAGGGGCTAGGCTCATGGTCAGGCATGGGTGTCTGTCCAGAGCAGCCCTGAAATAACACTGACCAGCAAATTTACAAAAAGCAACAGACTGGGGGCAAAACAAAGAAGCTGACCTATGTAGCTTTGGAAAAGTGTTCTGACTGAAATCCACAAGGCTAAAGACAAAAGAAACTATACATAAACACTGTAGTCTAGTTGGTAAAGTTGTTTCTCACAGGGTTATGGATCAGAAATTCTGAAACTGCTTTACATGTACTCTGGGGTTGAATTATTAAGTAAATGGATGATAAATGGTGGGAGACAGGTTTCTGCTACAGAAGAAAGTTAGCAATAAGCAAGAGGGCAAAGGCTAGAACAAACCATGTGGTACTGAATTAGAATCAAGGCATCAGTATGAACTCACATTTAGCTTTATATGGATATAGAAGGAATTACAGCAAGGGGAGGGTATAGTTTAGTGGTAGGATGCATGCTTAGCATACTCAAGGTTGTGGGTTCAATCCCCAGTGCCTCCATTAAAAAATAAATAAATAAACCTAATTACCTCTCCCAGCAAGAGAAAAAAAATTAAAAAAAAAAGAGAAAGAATTACAGACATGTGTTTCCATGAGTTGGTATGTATACATATATTTCCTAGCTGTGTCCACTGTGGGGTCCTAGGAATAGTGTCAATCCAGTAGCAATAAGCATACTCAGCACCCAGATCTTGGTTTCTAACAGCATTCTACAAAAAAAAAAAAAAAAACCAGGACTCCTTTGAGAAATGGCTAATTCTAGGTTTGGGACAGGCGAAATACAAGACCAGCTGACAGCATCTTACAGTGCCAAAAAGCGCTCAAAATACAAAAGGGGGTAGGGTGGCTATAGCTCAGTGGTAGACTGCATACTTAGCATGCATGAGGTCCTGGGTTCAATCCCCAGTATCTCCACCTAAATAAACAGATAAACAAACAGACCTAATTACTTCACTACCCTCAAAACAGCTTTCAAAAAAACCCCAAAAGGATGGGGGCATGTCAAAGGCACAAGAGCCAACCCAAAAGAGCTCCCAGAGGCCAAAGCTAGACCAATATGAGCAACAAAGTAAAGAACACAGTACTGGATTATATCCCAAAGTGTGAGTCCATACTAAATGACTGAATAAGTAAATGTGGGAGAAAGAAATCTTCCTTTCTGAAGAATCCCAAACAATTGATGTAAATACTACCCACTCCAGGAGACAGAACTTAATTCCACACCCTACTGCAGGCCTTGAATGTAGGGTGCATTTAGTGATTTATTTCCAAAGAACAAAGTATGGAAAGAGGAACCTGGCAAACACTACCTTGACCAGGTGATCAAGGTTAACACAGCAGCAATGAGTCGTGCCTTCAGCATGTACCCCTGATATGATATGATGATAAAGGTACTTCAACTCTGTGACATTCTTCCTAAAAACCCAGAACCCCAGTCTAACCAGTAGAAAAAAACATCAGAAAATCCCAAATTGAGGACCATTCTACAAAATACTTGACCAGTATTCCTCAAATCCTCATGAAAAATTAGGAGAGATTAAGAAACTGTCACAGACTAAGGAGATGTGACAACTAGATGTAATGTGGTGTCCTGGATGGGGTCCTGAAACAGGAAAAAAAAAACGTGTTATGGAAAAATTAGTGAAATCCAAATAGAGTCTGGAATTAGTTAATAGTAATGTACCAGTGTTGGTTTCTCAGTTGTGACAAATGTACTACAGTGATGTAAGATGGTAACAACTGGAGAAGCTGGGTGAAGGGCATTACAGGAACTCTCTATACTATTTTTGCAGTTTTTCTGAAAAACCAAAAATATTCTAAAACTTAAAGCTTACTTAAAAAAAAAAAAAAGAATCCACAGGCTGACCCTACTTCCATTCTAAGGAACCCCCAGCCATGAAAGAGTCTGCGGTCTATGTCAGAGGAAATGCAGATCTCCCCTAAACGTCATTTAAATGTCTAACCTCTCAGGGCTCCTCCAACATAAGAATGTCATAGCCAGGTCCAAAGTGATGCCCAGAAACAAGCAGCCCCTCTTCAGGAACTACTTCCCCCTCGTGCTTTTGCTTTACATATGTGCCCAGTAGTTAGTTAACACCATACACACGATGAGATGCCAAGTGTTTTCATTTACAAAAACAAAAGTTTTCTGCTATAGTTCATGCTACAATGAAGTTTACCAGATTACTAGAAAACTGTGGCTCCTGAGTCTCACATACCCTTGGAATCTTGGATATCATTGCACAGTACCCACTTCGGCCACTCTCCCCATCCTGAGGTGCTTCAGAGCTCAGAGTGCCATACAGCAGTGCACTTTGGTTATTCTTGCCCATTTTCAGGAACACTTCACTTCTGCCACCAATCGTCTTATCAGAAGTCACCGTCCACTTATCTAAATCTTCTTTGCCACGGAACTGCCACACAACCTTGGCTTGTTCCAGCAAGACTTCATGCAGGGGGCGGCCTTCAGGCCCTAACCAATAATTCACAATCTCATCCTTCAAATATCTAAAATGGTCATTTATTTCCTCTTTAATTGCTTTATCAAAATTAACTTCAGGCTTGTCCTCAGGAGAAGTTATATCCAAAGCATCTTCTTTCTGGTGATGTCCTTGCAAATTCCCTTCAGGCTTCCTCTGGGAAGAGGCTTTGCCAGAAGCAGCCACTGGTTTCTGAAGACTACTGGAACAATAGGCTGCAAAGCGAGTATCCAAAACTGGACACGAGGTAACACTTGGCCTCGGGCATTTCCTGAGAATACAAGTGATATTCAGCAATTTGTGAACCAAAGCCATGGTAATAAAAAGTCAAAATGTAAATTTCTTTTTAGGCTGCCAGAGAAAGAACCTTCAGCAAACAGCCCAATTCAACCTAAAAAACAAACAAACAAACAAACAAAAGATTGAAGAATTACCAGTGTAGCAATGAATACATCATAATTTCAAAATCAACATGGGTCATGTGAAATTCATGAGCTTACTTTCTAATTCTATAAACATTTATGCAGGGCCTACTATGAACACAATAATCCAACAATAAATCCCTTCTAACACCCTCTTGTCGAGATGCTCCATGTCTCCCATGGTGTACGTTCTCTCTCACTACAAGAATAATAAACCCAACTTTCTCTACTAAAGGCATGCTCCTAGTGGCCTCTGACTGGAGGGCACTGACGCTGCTCTTCCTCTATATTGCCATGAGAACGTGTGCATTCCTCTCACAGCCCTTACATAATATCAGAATCTTACTTTTATCTGTCCTTCTAACTAGCCTGACCTCCTTAATCTTAGGGACTATGGCTTGAACATAACTGATGCTCAGTGTTTGCTGAAATAAATGAAAATCATGTAAACAGTATGTTTTCATACTAAAAACAGAAAGGAATCAGGAAAAATAACAGTTGGATCTCAGCTCCTGGAATCACAGGTAATATTTAAATTTCCCCCACTGATCTGTTTAAATGACTTAACCGCTATGTATACAGGAATTTGGGTAATAAATGATAAGCCCATAAATGGAACTTGTACAACCATAAAAATGATTCTTTTGACACTGCGCACAGGCTACACTACTGAGTGGTAAATAAGGAGGAGTCAAAATTGCATTTACACTAACATTATAAGCATAAAAATGTACAAAAAAGATTTGGAGGTTAAAAAAAGAAAGAAAAAGGCTTAGAGTCGTGTGTGGGATGATGGGATTATGAGTAAGATTATTCACCCTATTTCCCAATCTTTCAGTAGTGCTATTACAACTCTAATAATATAACTTCAATTATAAATGTTTTGTTTCACATTTTTATCAGTAAACGTAGAATCAGACTCATTAACTGGATGATCCTGAACAGAAGTTGGTGAGTTTTCATGGCAAAGTAACCCACGCAGCCAAAAGCGAGTAGCCTCAGTAAAGGCTGTATATTCAGAGTTTACCATGTGCTAGAAACTGTTCTAGGTATATTTCTAGGTATATTTTCACTAACTTCTCATAACAACCGTGAGAGAAGTACTATTATTATTCTTATCACAATGGAGAAAACGGAGGTTCCAAGATTAAATTACCCAAGGTCATACAACTAGTAAGTGGCAAAACTAACCCTAGAGCCCCAGTGTTTAGCTCCGGATCCGAGTCAGGGAGCAGCCCGAACCCTGCCGCAGCGTGGCACCCTCTAACCCCTCACCTGCTAGGGCTATAACGCCCTCACAAACCCCAGACGCTCCAACCACCGGCTGGTACTCATTTGCCTCCCCTGACACCACCCCAGAGCGACTTCCGCCCCGGTCCCCGGCTTTTCTCGACCGGGTACTCCACTTTCCCCGAGCAGGTCCATCTGCTTTTCCAGTCCCGTGGGAAACTAGGCCTCATGACACTGGAGTTCCGGCCAGGTGAGGAGACCGGGATAGAGTAATAACAATCCCGAAGCTCCGCTAACTGAGATTTGGAGTTGATTAGCTTCCAAAAAGGCCCGCTCCCCTCGACCCTATCTTTTTTGCCCTATGTGAGAAAGTGGGGAGAATTTAGAGCTTTCCG